AGTTAAAGTCTCATATTTGTCTCTGTTGACTCTTTGCTTTATATATCTTTATATATCCTGCAGTATTTATGCATTTTATTATTAATGTGCAGGTAAGATGTGTCAGTTATATTTTTATTATAAATTCTGTTATTAAAAAGCGCCTCTCAAAAGTTTAATACCTTTGCCTCATCTCATATTAATAGCATGACTTTCTTTTCCTTTACATTTTTTAAATTTATTTTTACCTTTTCTTTTGGCTTAAATCTGAAATTTTTCTTCTTTCTCATTTCAGCTTAGAATGATGTGTTAGAAACTACTCTTCAATCTTGTATTTAGTGTATTCTTTGCCTTTTCTAGAGCTTTCATCAGAGAGTCTGATATAATCTTTTATAAGATGCTAAAGGTATTTCCCTATCTACTGTTTCGTTGAAATTAAGACTACACAGAGTTTACAATCTATCGTTTTGATAATAACCCTTTTAAAAGAACAAATGTATGATGTGTTTTAGTTGGTATTCAAAGGAACTGCCTTGAAAATCAGTTGCCATGTTAAAGGATTAAACTGTATAGAGCGATATATGATTCGAATATAAAAATGGCAGGTGTTTGTAAATCTGCAGGACAGGTATAAAGGTTTACGTGTTTTTATTCTCCTTTGGGAGACTGTATTTATGGATTATCTAATTGATTTAAATTATTTCTGTGTGAATTTATAATCTCCCACTAGTGATTTTTTTGTTTGTGAGTGAACCTTGATCTTGGACCACTTGAAAAGGTGAAATCGTTGGCAAGCTTTGTCGCTCTGTAAATTAATATTAAACGTGTTTTGGGACAGGATTTGTCTTAAGAGTTTTACAGAGCTTTGCGTGAAAGAATATGTGAACGTGTTGGTTTGCATTTCGAATGCTGTTACACTCGGAAGGGCGTCTCTGAAAGCCAGTAGCGGCTGTATCCCACGAGGCGCCGCGTTTCTCAGACCTAAAGAATTGGATGTGCTTTGTAAAGCACAAGTGAATCTGTTAAAAACTATAGGCTGAGAGCTGACAATGGAGTGCCCTCTGGAACAAACAGCTTCCCAGAAAGGACAGCTTCCCAAATGGCCAAAAGCAAAGCTTTTGTTTAAACCACT